CATTCTACTCTTCCTTGCGCTATTCATCAACAGCATCAACAGAAACATCAAGAGGAACTATAAGGTCAGTTATAAAGAACTTTTCTCTCAGGCAGCGAGTTAAACCACGCTTTCAGGAGACCAAATGGCTTTTCGTTTCATCAGTGCTCTGCACACTTATATGGCTCTGTTGGATAGTGGCGTACCTGATTGTACCAAACGAGATTAAGGTATGTACTGGTACTTAATTCTGAAGTATGAGGCCGGAGAGCTGTAGTACGCCCGAGCCACCAGATCAGGCGATACTACAGTCTGTCTCTTGATTCCCAATATTTCAAAAGGGCTTTCCACGTTTGTCAACTGGGCGGGCCAAGAGCTGACATCGCACCGTTCTCGTTAGTGCAGCCCTGTCTTCTGAAAGGGTGAGAGGAGGGTATTGAAGAATGCCTGGCCCCAGATTCAGTCTGTACAGTTCGTGACAACTGGATGGGCGGGGATTCCCGACCAGTGCGTTCTCCCCATCTCTTGTAAAACAGCAGTATTAGAAGGATAGGCGCCTCAGGTGAGGGTACTGCTTATGATACACAGTTCACGCCTCCGCCCATCTGCTTATCATGGAATAGCCATTATCATTCCAGTTTTTCTCGGGGTTGAAAACCCTAACTTATCTCATGTAGTGCCTCTGATGGACCGGAGTGGTGTTGGCAAAAGCCTTTCTTACCAGGTGCACGGTTCGGAGGTCAAATCCCGGATCGGCTCCTGCCTAGGTCAACCAAGCCCTCTACCCTACAGGGATGGTGAACTGGTACCAGATTCGTCTGGGAGCATGAGAACGCTGTTGTATCGGCTGGCTCCTGCAAGTCATTCTATACGCCACATCGCATTCAGTAAGCCACTACGATTCTGAGCACAAGTAGAATGCGTGCCGCTTCCCAAAAAAAGATTGACAAACGGCGAGGACTTTCTCCTTTTTTCCTGAAACCTTAAACGCCCTTGAATTTCAGGAAACGGTGGTTGTGGCCGAGTTGATCTGTTGTGCGTCAATCCTCCTTGGCCTCTTGTTTGGACCAAAGATCTACATCCTATTGTCATACGAGCCAGTAGTTGTTGAATACAAAGAGACTCAGGCTGACAACAACATGGCGCTCTTTGAGAAAGGTACACGCCTGTTTTTTTAAGGTCTGCAGAATCATTGAGCTATATTGGTCTTCGTTTAGATGACGATCTGCCATCAGTACGGGCCGTTTCACCAGCCAGCAGTAGCGGATCGTCCTCACGTACCACCATGTCAGCCCACAGCGTGCAAGCACTTACCGGGAATCCTCATGACCAAGAGGTGAGTTCAGAATTCTATCTCGACTTTCCAGTCTTCGGGCTACTTGACCTTGGTCCTTCAAACCACACCAGTTATCTGTTTTTCTCTGCGCCCTCTCTCCTATCTAGCGTCGCAGTGCATTAAGCAGCGTTCAGACTTCGCGACGGCAGCGCTTCGGTCGCGCTTTTGACGCGATCGATGCGCATGCTTTCGACTGCATCGATCGCGTCGAACGCGCGACGAAGCGCTGCCGTCGCGAAGTATGAACGCTGCCTCAGGGGGTGAGGGTTCATCATGCCTGCCGAGTTGCGGCTAACGCAGCGAACTAGCGCAGATATTGGAAATGGGGCCAGTGGCATCAGATCTACTTAATGAACTCTCCATTTTTCCCACATCGGATGAGATGCCCATCCCGGACTCATATCATCCTTCGTAGTCCTGGATACCTACACAGCCGCTTTCATCTGTATGTGTGCGCTCTGGCCTTTCGCAGCAGGACCAAGTTCAAGTAGTCACGTGACCAGGTTCTCCTGTTTCTTTTTCTGTTTCTTTGATGATCATTTCTTGAGTCACCGGTCTTCCACACAGTCATGAGGAAAAAGACTAAACTTCGTCGAGCACATAGCGGACACGAAATGCAGGTAAGCAAGTGTCGTATTCTGTTGAACATCATTTTATCGCAATTCAAACATATATTCCGTGATAACCAAGTGGGCGGGGACTCATAAAAATTCACCTCCCTTATTAGTGTGCCTCATCTTCCAGCACACATGAAGGGCGCGCCAGTCACCGGGGCATGCCAATGAGTTACCATGGATGAGAAACCTCTGCCTATCCAGCAGTCGCGACCTATGTCTTCAATATCATACCTATTTCGTTATATGGTGGCTACTGTTGTGCGGAGTAACCTAACATGGTCCCTGAGTCTTCTCCCGTTTGAGTCCTGAGGGCAAATCTTCTTCCATCCCACCCCCATTCCTCATTAATTGATTT